TGAATAAAAATCGCGATACGCTAAAATTATCGCCGCATTTCTTATCTCTTTCACTTGATATACAAATGTAGCAATGATAAAAGAAAGAATTATACGTCATCGAATGCTTGTACGTTAACATCCGAATTACCAATGGTCTATAGTGGGGCTTATTAACGGCACATATTTAATCGATGATCCGACTCGTATCGGTTTGCGAATGAACATACATACAAATTGCACGCAAGCAATAGTAAGTGTTAAGTGAGAACGCTGTCACATGTTTTATACATGTTTTATACATGTAACTCGATTGCGCGTAATGTGTGTTTGTGTAATTAATATTTTTTTTCTCGCAGGCAAGTGGTACAATTGACCGAAGACAAGAGAGAGATTTTCTGTATTGTATGCATCAAGTAAATTCTACGTTAATTAAAATCCACATAAAAACTTGGTAAAAAAAAGTTTAACAAACAACTCATTCGTAGCGTGGACGATATGTATCTGCTGCACGTGATCGGAACGACGTATTCGAGGACAATTACAATAACGAAATCCTGAAGCGTTTGCAGGAATATAGAAGGGGAAGAGAGTTCTTCTCTCTCTTTCTTTCTGGCTTCTACAATATTATCGTGGTGTATTTCGCAACCGATTATAAGCGGTTTCTATTCAAGCAACACGATAGTTAACTGAGATCAGATATGTAATCCGAATCATCAGCTGAGTCAAAAATCTCGACGTGGATCTCGTTAGGAATGTCGTTTGGAGAAATCGTCAAAGTTTGTGAATTTTATCTGCGAATTACTCACTGATTTTCAATCTCTATTCTACTGATATTTGATCTTTCGTAGGAGCTGTGAATTGCGACACAAAAGCAATTTGTTGTAGTCGCATTGCGACGCTGTCGTCCACGGGGCATGTATCCCCTTGTTGGGTGTCAATTCGAACTAATGCACAACTATTGCGTATCGACCTGTAGTCATAGCAGGTCGTATCAGGTCGGAGCAGCACAGAATGTGAATGAGAGGAGGAGGAGGAGGAGGAGGAGGAGGAGGAGGAGAAGGAAGATCATCATCACCATCGTTTCGTCCGTGAGATAATTCATCAACTAATAGCGTTCGCATCGACAGTATTTAGACCATCTCCGTCCGTTTTCCCGTAAGCGATTTCTCATTCGTCGTGATGTGTACGGATCTGCTGTTGAGTTTGCCGGTGATTCTGCGATAAAGACGATCCCGGGTATGCGCCAACATACACAAGACGCAATGCAGCACAGTGACTAAGGTTAGACCGCCAGCACACAGGGGTATGGTCCGCGCCGGTTTCTTCCAGTCTAAGATCTTGTAGATATAAGGATAGCCTTCCTTGTTTAGGCCGCCGGCGGCGTAGTAGATCACTGTGAACATCACGTAGAACATCGCGATCGATAGAGACCACCAAAAGTTACGCAGGCGGAACGGTATACTGGTAACGAACAGATCGATTAGCATCAACACGCTGTTGCACACGTGCATCATGATGTTAAGCGGGTCCAGGTAGTGAATCTCCGGATTATACACGGCTAACCAGTAGCATACGGTCACGCCGATCGCGATGTTGGTTGTGACAACGTACAGAAACCAGTAGAGCCGCTCTGTGAACTCGAGCCGAAGGTTGCATGGGTTGAAGCCGGGTATACGCTGCAGCCGCCAGCGTTTCAACACGAGTATACCGCCGATCAGGGCCTGGCTGAAGCCCAACGCGACGTCCCAATGTGTAAGGTAGATCGGCCACTTGTCATACATGCGCAATGGCTGGTAACTACCCAACTCAAATAACGAGCACACCACGAAGGCGGTCCATATAAGGAAGACGATCCAACGGTAGAACAAGTACCAAATCGTCACATGCGACTGGCATTTGGGCTCCGTCAGCAGGCGAGCGTGCGGCGTCTCTTGTCGTCGTTGACGCCACCTGCGACTGATCTCCTGACACCAGAACTTGCTTACCATTGCTCGACGATCTGTTGAAGAATCGAACGCTTCTTTTAAACTTGTTAACTCTTATTTAGCTTTATTTGGCGCTGATTGATAGAGACAGTTGTGTGTGTATGTGTGTGTGTGTGTGTGTGTGTGTGTGTGTGTGTGTGTGTGTGTGTTAGAGAGAAATAAAAACAATAAATTAACTTGAACATAATATTAAAAAGAAAACAAAAGAAACAAAAAAACAAAAAGAACATAGCGAGACTCTTGTATGGGACATTCAGTTGCTAACGCCAGGAAGACGAAAGCTCAATTCGCGGATAATCGGTTTAACAAACTTGCAATCATTGCACAATACCTATATGCAACGTAAAGTATAAACGTTTTGGTTTATTTTTGGATTTTCTCTTGAATAGCAAGGCACAGTTTAAGTGGAAATATTCTAGAGTGAGTATTGAAGAATTTTGCAGTCAAACATCGTTTGTAATGACGCACGAATAGGTATAAAAGGTGCAACTAAATTGCGATAGATCTAAAGCCAATTCTAATTGCGTAAGCATGGTCGTGAACGTAAGAATCAACTAATTAGAGTGATTGCATTATTCTGATTGGTTGTCGTAATCATCTACAATCGTTTACAACCACGCTTACGCAATTGTAGAATGCCTTAACATTGCAGCGAATCGATCTGTACTTGAACGTCGAGTGGCATTAATCAAAACGAGGCAAATAATATTCCTGAATTCGTGCGCGTCTTGCGAAATCTTCCCGAATATATCTTTTGCTTACATGATGAACATTGTAGAAGCTGTCTCAAGAGCGGTAATCCTTTAATCGCGAGCACCATTCTCACACAAGGAAGAAGAGGATTCATCGAGCGCGATTTAGCACGAGGATGGGAAAACTTAACCTAATCTAACCGCGAGTCTAGTCCAACCCAACCCAATCTAACCTAACTTAACCCTAACTTTATCTAACCTTACGTCCATCTGTCAACTGGGTCAGCTGATGTAGCGCGTGCGTAGCCGCGTCGTTCAATCGTCGTAAATACTGTTTCGAATATCTCGTAGCAAATTTGATGAATGCGCTCGAGTATACTGATGCACATTAATGAGTGCCGTTATATAAGTTTAAATAAACGTCGATTAATGATTAAACCAGTAATTCAACCGATGATTGAACATCTTGTTGGTCGTGTGACGCCGATGTTATTCATTTTTGTGCTTCCTCAAGCGTAGAATCTTATATATACAGGGTGTCTCAGATCACTATACTCAAACTTTGCGAGAACGGATTGAGGTGAACAAGAAAGTCTCATACCGTTTTGCAATATTCGCAATAGTTTTAGAGAAATTAATTTTAAAAAATTACGTGAAGAAAGGAAGAGAGCTACTAAAATCGTTCGAGACCTAGCGCGTTGGTCAAGTTGGTCAGTTGGTTAAGAAACGTGTGCAGAAGATGACGGCGTGCGACGAACAACGGAAGAACAACGCACTGCTTGTGTTTATAACGCTGTGCTCCTACGTCTTGCCGCACCGCGCCGCAACGGTGATCTGCGACTGTGTACTTGTATATTATTGTAGATCGAACTGAGCAAAAAAGTCCTTTACTATTTTCCAAATGACTACGTACATGTTTAGTTATTAATAAAAGAAGATTAGTGTACAGTTATGTACATTAATGCATCAATTTTTTTTAAGATCGCAAAATAGTAAAGGAGTTTTTTGTTCTGTTTGACCTAATCTACCCGTACACTGCGGCTTTTCTGTGAATTATCTAACATCTTATATGTATGTGTACACACACACACACACACACACACACACACACACACACACACACACACACACACACACACACACACACACACACAC